CCCTGTAAGAAATCTTTGAAAATACAGAAGCCAATTAAAGACATTGGCGGTATGGAGACGGCAACATTCTTGTTTTATTTCTGCTCACAGCAGTGAAAGACTCAGCCAGACTTCAGGATTATTTTCTGTGAAAGCCTCTCTTGTCAGCTGCTGCAGAGCTCAACAGCCGTCATGTGGCATATTTAATTTTGACTGATAGGCCTTTTAAAAATGTATCCATCCACTGTATTTTTTAGAAAGAGTAAGAAGTCTATATTTTCATTAGGATTTGAGGATTTCAGGAAGGTCTTAGTGGTAGTCATATCCCTGGCCTGATGATAAGAAACCTTATTATCTGGTTTCAGGCAGACACAAAGGCTCGAGTCATTCTCTAATCCTGTGGGGGAGAAAAGATTTTGAATAATTCATCCATGATTTTTATTATTTTTCTTTTTTTTAATATTGTTTAATGCTACATCAACTTAAGACTGTAGTTCTCATGGGAAGCTCTTTAAGCTTTGCAGGTTGCAGCCTGACAAACAAGCTTCATCGTTATGCAAGAACAATTTCTGACTGTAAGCCTTATGAACCTGAATATTTTATGATATCTTCAGCCCAGTTTAAAAGTTTGAAATGAAAAAAAGTAATATGTCTGAACTATTAAACAGGCAGCTCTGTATAATAGCTTATGTAAAACATTTTCTTTAAGCTACTTTTCATGGCTCTCAAACATCAAAGGATCATTTAAATCACTTGGTGATTAAAGGAGCAATATGTAACTCTGACAGGTAGTGTTTGAAATTGGTACTGCAGTCCAAATTCAAACACTGGAAAGAGATGTCTCAGCTGATGCTCATGCAGGTTGCCATGTCGCAGACACTGAAGCTTCAGTGTTTAACCAGCTCTGCATCGGTCTTGAAACCTTTCTGCTCTCTAACCTCTCTCCATTTTTCAAAAACATCTCCAATATTTATCCTATTTTTTTTTTTTTTTACCATTTTTCTGCTCGTGGAGCTGAAGATGCCGAGGCTATTCAGGTGGGGTAGGATCAGTTATATTTGAACCAGTTCGCTTACCCTAAAACAAGTCAAAAACAAATACAGACTATTCTTGACTCGAACTGAAACTTAGGAGGAGGACATACTCGCTGCTGCATTGTCGTCAGAGAAGCCAACACTTCAACATAGCATGTTTCCTTAATGTCTGATGAGAAGGTAATTTTATGATTTAATTCAGTAGATATCTTCAAATTGCTACTTTAAGAGGCAAGGGTGCATACATGCTGTTTGTAAATAGGATGAGGTAAATTGAAGCAAAGCAACAGCTATGTGCCCTTTTTATATAGGCCTTTTTTTCAAGTCAACTTCTTTATAAGTGGCAGTTTCTGAAAATAATACATTATGCTTTTTAGTTAAACACAGCACAAGTCACTTCACATTCTCAGCAGCATTCAGAGTCCATTTTAGCTCACATAGACTGTTCAAAGAGGGACAACACACCACCTCTGTCGCGTAATTAATTTATTAAGATATTATGTGAGTTGTGTTCCATTGAACTCCGCCGACTGGTCCCACGTTTCAGTCTTCAGCAAGTGGTTCTTTTCAGGCCCAGAGAGGTCCACGGGCCAGATCAGATGCCTTGAAACCTGAAAAGGTTTGAAACAGGAAAAATATCAAAGAGTCTTTTGATGCGTCGATTTCCAATTCAGATTAACGTGATGGCCATCTCGATGAATCCAAACTAAGGAATTGGCATTTAAAATTAAAGAGCAAAGACTTTGGAGAAGAAAGTTCAAAAGCCTTGCTTGAGCCAGAAAGAATTGATGTTTCCAAAAAAATAAAAGTTCGGCAGAGAGTTGTCTCTACGGCACAAACTTAAAAGAAGTGATTCGAACCGAAGTCCAAAGAGAAGCGAGCAAGAAGCTGAAAAAATCTTAAACTGAAAACTGGAGATCTGAGCTGAGTCTTGAACTTTTATCAGCTGGAGGACAGGAGGGGGGCCGCCCACGGGCTACTCCGAGTTTACTCAATTAGATTTAGAATAAGAATCTAAACATATATACGTCACCATACATTCATTTCGATATTATTCCTATCAGATCCACATTGATGTAGATTCACGTCATATATTTAGACAAGCATTTCTATCAGATTCATGTTGAAATGAAAATCACACCATCTGGGAACATCCTCAGATAATCCCAGCCTGTATGTAAACAAAACCATGTTATACAGTCAGCATTCTCAATAAGACATATTAATAAAGTAGGAAAATAAATTGGTGTCTTTAAATAACACCTTCTATAGCTAATATCAAAGAGTATGCTTTATAACACCTCTAAATGTATAATTATGACGGTTACATACTCATGGAAATTCTAACACTAGATGGCAATAGCGCTCCACGTCAAATTCCTATTAAAACTATTATAACTCTCATTTGTATTCTGAACATCTGATTTTGAGTTTAAAAAGATGATTCCGAGTGTTCTGTTTCCGCTTGGTTGTTTACTCAAGGTGTTGTAAATGTTTATAATATCCTGTCCTCCAGAGCCTGTCTGAGAGGGAGACTTAAAGAGCCCATATTATGCCCTTTTTGGGGTTTGTATATTTAATCTATGTACCTACTTTTGTACGTTCACAATAGCTAAAGTCCGAAAAAAGTGTCTGTTTTCATGTACTGCTCCTCCTTGCTCCCTCTACGCTCTGAGTACAACAGCTACGCTCTGCTGAGCCCCCACTGTTAGACCCCACGTGGGCCAAGTCTGCTCTGATTGGTCTGCCGATCCGCTCTGTCGTTATTGGTCAGTTGCTCAGCACGCTTCTCGGAAATTTCAACATGAGCTGCAGGGCTTGCCAAAACGAGCCAATGAACTTCAGTGATCTCACACTGACAATGACGTCGGACTGACACATTTTTATCGAGGGGGGCTAGAACAGAGCGTTACATGCGGCTAATGCTACAGCTAACTGGAGGAAGTAGGAGAAGCCGTGTTTCCGTGGACTTTGAATTTTTGCACATAGATGTGCCTAAACATGCACAGGACACTTGGAAAACACACTAAAGGGCATATAAAACCAGAAAAAGCATAATATGTGACCTTTAAATAATTGATCAGTTCCTTTGTTTCTTGCTAAGGGTAACCAACATGTTAAGCCACATCCCTGAGTCCTGCAGGAAGAGAGGTTGTGAAACGTGGCTGCTAATATCGGCTACACCTCCTTCATTGTGAAGTCAAAAGATTCAGAGCTCCCCGTACTGACTGACTGCAGAACAGGTCAAACCTGCCTCTTCCATGTTAACAGATGGGACAAGGGGCAAACTTTGACATTAAAAATTAGGTATATGTCAAAGGATTTTTTTTCTCAAACCTAGTTTCTGTCACGATAGCTGGTTTTTATCCACCCTAATAAGTGTTTATGTCCTCTTTTTTTCTGCAATGATTAGTTATTTGATTCTATGGTGCAAAACGCTATTATTGACAGCTCTGTTTACTAATGTGGCTCTTGCTGTGTGCACCAGATTAGTAGAGCAAGGTTCAAGGTTAAAGGTTAATTTATTGTCATTCCAGAAACATGGGTACATGAGCAGAGGAGAAAACATAAAAAAACACTACCAGAGGAGTCAGTGAAAATTTGTAACTGTGAGTGTCTGATTCAATCCAACACAACAATCTGCTCTACTGTTGACTTTACTGACCTAAGGGAAATGTGAATTAGGTTAGCGTAAAACTTGTGTGACTTCAATACCGTGACTCTTCCAGCTGATCCCTATGCAGACTCTGGCTCCAAATGAGCAATAGGTCAGCGCCTGTCACAGGGGCTATTTTAATTTCACTTCTACAATGGGAGGAGGCTGTCGGGCATGTCCATCTTTACATACAGTCAATGGCCCAAACCCTGACCTACTCTTAAACCTTTAGCAACTAATTTAATCCTTACCAACTTTGACTGTTTCACATACCTTAAACCTAAGGTCATGGTTTAGTTTGGCTTAACCATTTCAAATACTTTTAAAAAAGACCCAGCACCGGGCTAAATAGTTGTAAACCAAAAATGGTAGAATATAGACCATCTCTCAATCTGAGTAAATCTTTGTAGACAAACATGATTTGGGAAATGAAATGTTAATACATTTAGCTCCATCAGGTAGAACATATTTTCCAATGTGGTTGTAGCCCTGCAGTACGAAATATCTCAGTGAATCTTTGTAAAATCAATGATCATAAAGAAGACAATAGCATCCCTCTAATGCATAAACTGAATGTTTAGGAGAGCTTTGGAAAAGATTAGGTTAATAAACATTTTTTGGTTACAGATTAGCTATTCTCAAAAGTGATGAAACAATCCAATGCCAGCAAATGAGGATGTGCAGACACTATGTGTGAAGCACGATGTCAGGCAGTGCCTCCACAGTGAACAAAATGTGTTTTGAAGGGCTTCTTGTTGCCGTCAATGTGAACCAAAGACCTTAAGCAGATTTTATCTCTCTTTAAGGATTAGACCATAAATAAACTCTCATCTAAGATGTGTTTTCCTCCTTTAAACTTAAAGCCAAATTGAGAATCATTTTCAGTTCTGCATCATGTGCTTGCTCCCCGGGACTAACGATGCAAATGTTATCTGTAAGAAAAGGGTTTTTAGTTGAACTTTTTAAAATAGGAAATAGAATGCACTCATACAGCACTTTTGTAATCACTTAAAGTGTTTTCAGACGACACACATATATCCACACTCTAATATTAGAAGCTGCTTATCATATTTATACACCACTGTCAATGCCTTCTGGAGCAACTTGGGGTTCAGGGTCTTTTCCATGGGCACTTTGACATGTAAACTGCAGGAGCTGCGGATAAAACTTTGACCGAGGTCCAACTTTACTATTTGATGAATACAAAACGTGTGAAATGTTTAGTTTACATTTTCAGTGACACATTTCTTTGACATTATGATTCATCACCTATTGTGTTTTTGTTCTCTAATTAATCCTCATTACTCCTTTCTGCTGTTTTTGTGTGACAGATGAGGGACAGACGGTGTGCGGCTCACCTGCTGACATGCAGGGTCGTCGTCTGGGTGAGGTCGGCCTCCAGCTACGGACGTTATGTCACCAGACTCTGGGCTCCTGGGACTATCTTTTCTTTGTGGTCATTGGCTTTGTCATCTTCGCTGCTGGCACGGTGTCGGCCTGGGTGATGGGCGTCATTATGGTGCTCTATGAGCGCTACATCAAGAAGAAAGATGAACAGCTGGACGTGGACGACGACGAGGAAACCATCGAGAGCGGCCGTACCTCACGTACCAGGAGTGACCATGGCAATGGGAATTTGAAAACATCACATACTGTGTGAAAGATTTATTCATCCCCTGCACGCCATGGATTCCTACAGTGCCTCCTGTCAACTTCCAGGACTGTCTGTGAAGTCTAATCACACTCCTGTCACACTGAGTCTGTGTAACAGGCTCAACACCGAAGGGGGAGGATTCAACAGAAACGAGGCATGTCTGTCCTCTGATTTAAAGTGTGCTTTAAGTGTGCTGAGGTGAGGTAACACACACTTGGGCTGCCATTGTTGAGGTCCTGAGCCCTTTGTTATTACTGATTATGTATGCAGACCCTTTATGGTTTATCACTCAGGGCGAGCAGGAAGGCTATTACCCAAACTCTTTTACATTGGTCTAACCAACAGAGAATTATTTTAATGGTTAACAGCATAATATGATTAGCTAATGGTCCCATTCACACATTTTAGAAAAGTGTCAAGAAGTTTCACATATTTTGTACCTATTGACCTTATTGCCTGGAGTTAGATGACAGAGATTGATACCACTCCAATTCTTTGTTAAATATGAAGCTGCAGCCTGAGGCCCCTCGCTTTATCTAGCATAAAACCTGAAAACAGTGAAATCGCTAGCCTTGCAAATAGTCCTTGACACTGCTGACTGCGTAAAACATGAACAAAGTCTTTGTGACATCACCCATTGTTTTCTGAACAGGACATTTTGAAGCACATCAATTGAAATGCTATCCTAACCAAACTATTGATCAATCTAGAAACAGGCAAAGAGGTGGGGTTGAACATTTCGCCAAATTATAATCAAAACGGATGAGTCTTAAAAAAATGTAACTGCAGTTTTTTGTATTTCTGCTGCATTGGCTTGATGTTTCCACAACGGAGGTTGCTGCATGGGCTTAATGGGGATTCATTGGCTTTGGGAGCCAGCCTCAAGTGGACGCTCTGGGAACTGCAGTTTTTCGCGCTCATTTCCACATTGGCTCAAATCCAACAACCAGCACCTCTAAAGGTCATGAAGTAACATGTTGTATCTTTTATTTTTTCGCCAGGAGCATTGAAACATCTAACTTGACCATCAATTAGTATATCCAGTAGCTTGGTCAGTGGCCACATTCATCAAAATCTGATGCCATAGATACCACTTTAGTGTCATTTCACGACACTGTCCACTATTTATTTTGATGTGGCATTGAGGTTAAGTGATAAAGTATGAAGAGTGTATGTCAGTCAAATGTGAACTCAAGAAAACACAACTGTCTTTTAGGATGCTAGAATTTGATTCCCATGTGAAATTATTTTAAAAATATATTTTTAAGAAGTTAATTTTTTTTAGTTAGTTAACAAACAGCCACTATGTAACAAATCTGTATTGGTTTTGTTAAACATGGTCATAAGTTGTGTAACATACATTTTATGTAGCTGGCACATTTAAGTTAATGCTTATGTAAACCTAAAAAAGGGTGAATTTCTGAATCCAAACCAAGTACTAACAGAGCATCATAAACATGATCATACTGCAACTTACAATTTGTAAAGTAAAATATACTTCAAGTACCTCACAGGGAAATTAGTTTTAGACTCTGTCCTGCAGAAACAGATAATAATAAACATCAAAAAGTAATTAAATATGAAATCATTGTAGGCAATCTTTATTCTGAGATGTTACCAACAATTATTTATGTAACATTCTTAGTCTCTTGTTGTCTCTTGTAAGAGTCGATCAGAAGTTGCACATTTTATTTCTCATGTGACCAGAGAGCTCTGCATGCACAACGCTGACAGGAGAGGGATATCTATTATCAGACTTTGGCACTTCACTTCAGGCCACAGTCCGAGCCGCTGTTTTGTAATAAGCCGAGAGGAAAGGTAGACACAAATGTCAATCGTGACCATTAAGTCTTTAACTAAAATTAAGGTTTACTTTATTGTTCCCCGCAAGGGGAAATTCTGTTTTTACACTCCGTTAATCATGCACGGCAGTGCTCAGGAAGTGCTCAGGACCTCTCCAGCTACCAGGCCAACTTCCATATTTGGTCTGCAATGGGACTTGAACCGGTGACCCTCCGGCTCCCAACTCAAGTCCCTACAGACTGAGATACTGCCGCCCTTAGAGTTCTAGGGATGAGTCAGAAGACCAAAACCCAATGCTACTGTTACAAAAGTAGTTTGCTCCAATGAGGGATAAAATCTGGTCATAAAATTTGTTTGTATCTATCGTTTTACTAAATTGATGAGTACCCTTCTTACAAATCAAGATGAAAATCTAATCGATCATACTGAAACTGATACTTTGGACTTCGGTTCAAATTTTGCACACACAACATTTAGCAGTGGACCTCCATAATGGCAACACACACAATTAAAGTGAAAGTGGTGTGTTCATTCTGCTCACAGGAATGAAAGGAGAAGATTAGACGCATGCATGTCGGTGTAGATGAGTTAACACTCCTGAGCACTCAGGAGTGTTTGCAGCTGCATTTTTTCCACTGATGGTTCAGCTATCTCACCTATTAGCCCAGAAACAAGCTGCAGTCCAGGGTTTTGTGTTGAAATTCTATTTGTGAAGTTGAGAGCCGGCTGCTGAGGACTGTTTTGGCAGGGAGCCCTGCAGGATGACGAGTAAACAGGAGAGTGTTATAATTTATTTCTACTTCATCCTGTCGCTGTTGGTTTGAGTGCCGTGTCCTCGCTGTTTCTGCATGCACTGTTGATGCACAAAAAAGCCTTATGTGGTGTAGACGAGCCTCGAGAGCTACTGACAAATAAGAGATATACATATGTAAGATCCTATGAAATCATTTGAGCTAGTTATTTAAAATGCTCTTGCTCTTACTTTTTTTCATAGTTAGTAAAAAAAAACCATTTTCATTTATGCTTTGGATCAGGTGAGTTTTATTAAACATGGAATTGAATGAATCTTCTGTGACGACAGTTTGAAGCAATAAGATAGCTTTTGTGTAGGTAAATATGATAAGTATCTTCTTTTTAAGTGGCCGTACTACACCACTGGCATTGACTGTTATGTACTTAAAGAAGCAGGAAAGAACCAAATGCTGTACGTGTACAATAAGTTGTGTCTGATCCTAATGAACAAATGAGGGACCAGAGAAGGGGGGCGTAAAATATTACAGAGCTCGGACGTGCTGTTCTTTAAATAATTTTATACTATGAGGATTTTACTTTATACAAGTTTGATTTTGAAAGCTGCAAATTGTTGTTGATATAGACCCTTTTTCCATTGGAGAGTTTGACGTTACAGTTAGAAAGGGACAGGTGTGGATAATTTAATTAAATAATGGTTGAATTCCATTTATCTGCTCCAGTTTCAGGGTCCTGTATTAGCATACTGGCTCACTGTCATGGTTATGGGGCACATAAACAAACCACAGCATTGTTTTGTACTAAGAACTCAGCTTTTTCTGGTTGTAGAAATAAAATAGAACCACCCACTATAGTTTTTCTACTAATTTGAGTATTTAATTCTTGGATGGTCCAACGCGTAACAGATTATAAGGTTGAAAAAGGTGAGAAAATTTATTATTAAAATGTTGGAGCAGTTATTTCATTAATCCACACTCTTACTCTAAACAATGTGTTGTCTCATTATGTAACGTAATCTGCAAAACTACTGAGAAACATTTGTTCACACATTTACTACACTTGCTATATTGTTACTTGTACAAAATGACCTTAAAATTCAAAGTCATTGTTTTCACAATGTATAATTACACCATCGTTCACTTCATCTTATTGACCTTTTTCAGGCAGTCACATAAAAAGTACATGGTGTAATTAATAACGATAATGATGACTGAATTCCAATATTAGGTGTTCAAGTTTCAGAGCAGCGCTCTCATGCATTATTAATGTTATTAAGTATACCTATGCTTCTCCTGCAATGGGGAGTCATGTTAGCCCTGTCAAAGGTGTGTTGAAGTCAAAGCAGCTCAAATAGAGCGGTCCATGGTTCTGTTAAATATAGAATCTCCGTTGATTAGTATATTTATGACCCTCAGGAATGAATCTTCACGTGTTCATTTGCGCTCCATCATCATAGGGAGTGATCTGCCAACCTTAGCATACTAACTGGCACAGCAAATGTCACTGCATGCCAATAGCGTGACCTGAGTACTGTACCTGTTAGTTGCCTACTAAAGCAGTATGCGGAGAAGCCTCTGAACATTTGAGTCCTTGGTTGCTGGTTGCTTTCATTGCTTTGGTTTTTATATTTGCATGAGGTCCTTCAGTATATATTGCATAATGTGCATGTCTTTTTAGGGTTTGTGAAGTTCACTCTCATCTATATCTATATACTATACAAGCATATGATCTCAACTGTAAGGAATTTTTTACATTATGCTAGATTATGCCATGTGATGCCACGGGCAAGGGTGAGTGTGCGACCTGGAAATAGGCCAGCCTGTTGTCCTCATTGATGTAGGCACAGTAACACAGATGAAATAAGAAAATATTTCCACATGTTGTTCTTTTTTAAATGATCATACATACCTTCTATTCTTGTGCATAGCACACAAAGCAAACACCAGGCTCTGAAAACCCTCAGTATTGACAGTTCTCGCTCCATGTGGGCACTTGGAGGTACTTTACAGAAGCTGAATATGCCCAGCTTCAATAACATACTAAGTGGATGAGCTGAAATCCAATATTATGCACTTTTTACACCCCCACACTGCAAACTCAGACCATATTTAGAGGCACATGTATGCATGTGCTCTGACACACAGAGACAAAAGCATCAGTTCTCCCGCTCTCATCGACTCCAACACGAATAACCTCTGAGTATATTGTGCTGTATAAAAGCTTAAAAGAAGAGCTCTTCTCTCGTTACTGACTCAAACCAGAACAGCATCTTCCCACATCGTCGAAACAACACTATCTAAAATTTAAAGGAGTTATATTTGGAAATGTGCACCTTAGGATTCTTGACGTTACAAATATGACAGGAGTGATAAGATGTTTGTGCCTGTCTTTTAAATATGAGGCTACAGCTAGCAACATTTTTAGCTTAGCTTAGCATGAAGACTGAAAACAGGAAAATGACCTTACCCTGCTCAAATGGAGAGAAAAAAAACGCACTAACAGAGTTTCTTAGCCGGTAATAAATACATTTACCTTGTTTTTACTCCCTGCAAGCTGTATAAAAACAAAAACTTGAAGTAATCGAGGGAAATACATGACTATTCTTCAGTCAGGAGCTATTTAAGTACCTGGAAAACTATGCACTAAGGGACTAATGAAGACAATTGAGGAGGGAAAACATGTACCCTTTAGAAAGGCACCAAAATTCCTTACAGTTCATTGAGCAGTGCTAAAAAATTGGCGTATGTTTTTTAAATTGTAGCTGAAGCCAGGCTTACTGGATAAAAATCAATAGATCACATTTTCATTTGTATTTTTAGGACAGAGCTAGGCTTCCATTCTTTATGCTAAGCTAAGCTAGCATTATATTGGTGTAGCTTTAGAGAACAGACACAGAGTGGTCACAATCTCCACAAGAATCTTTTTAGCATATTTCCGCGTGTCCTGAATCCTAAGTATGGTACTATTATTTTTAGCGCCTTATAATGTCCAAACTTTGACAAAAGTAGTGTCCCTGTCATGTACACTACTTTATAACTTTCACTTTGTGTTTCAGATTAAACATTTTTATTTTTTTGTGTTTGAACATAGTTAGGCTAACATTACACCTTTGCTAAGCTTAACTAGGCTAAAACAAGCTAAACTAAGCTGAGCTAAGCTAAGCTAACAGGCTAGTGGCTGTAGCTTTCAGATGACAACCTGAGAGTGGTAATAATCTCTTGTTTAACCCTTAACAACAAAGCAAATATGTTTCTTTCCCTTTGTTTC